GCTCTGTCTCCAGCTGGAAATTAAGGCATTGGTTCGAGATCGCTGACATGAGGTCTGGCCTGTAAGAGGGAAAACATACTCCATGTTAAAATAAAATCTAGTTCTCAAACCTAAACTAGAGAAAGGAATACATTCCCAGCTCCTTCATACAACTCCATTAAGCTCTCCTATAGCCTCAGGCAGGGAATTCCTGATCCGTATTCGATAACCACAGAATCACAGGATGGTTGAGGTTGGAAGGGACCTCTGGAGAAATCTCACTGGACATCTGGTCCAACCTTCCCTGCTCAGGCGGGCTCACCAGCAGTAGGGAGTCCATTAGTAAGATAAATTAATTATCAAAGCAAGCATAAAATTCCTTTTTTTTTTCTTCTAAATAAATATTAAAATTTGTAATAACAGGTAAAGAAAAATTATTAGGAAGAAAAACCAACTGACATTTGGGAAGTTCTGCTGAGCGTGAGACCAAGGAATCCATGACATAATGTCCTCTCTCATCAACGCACCAGCAATGACCTGGCCAGGGAAGAAAAGTGGTTTTAGTTTAGTATTTGTACTGCAGTATGTTCTGTTTTCCATCCATCTTGTAGACCACTTCACCTCTCTCCAGTTTGGCTACAAGAATGCAGGCTTTCCATCTTTTTATCAGAATTCTGCTTAGCTTTTGTTTATTCAGAAAGCCCAGAATATCTTTTTACCAAGTGCTCACCTGTGCTCTCATAGCACTGAGTTGGTTCCCAGTTTCCCAGACCATCACACTGTGGGACATAAGGGAGAAATCCCAGCTGCGTTGTTTCTCCAGCAGAACCTTTTGAAGTAAGGTGATTCCGCCAGTAGAAATGCAAGACTATAAAAGATAAGTAAAAGAAAGCTATTAGTGGCCAATATAAGATATTTTAAATGCACATTTGAAATGTTCAAAGCCCCATCCAAGAATTCAAGGCCAGGTTGGATGGAGCTTTGAGCAACCTGGTCTAGTAGAAGGTTTCCCTGCCCATGGCAGGGAGGTTGGAACTAGATGATCTTCGAGGTCCCTTCCAACCCCAGCCATTCTGCGACTTTATGATTCACATATTTGCAAACACCTGCAAGTACAAATTCCCTGAACTTTAGGTGGCAAATTAGCAAACACTGCAAGTACTTTAAGGCTGGTAAGTGTCCAGATCTTATATATGCATTGTGTCATACATATAATACAACTGAAATCAGCTCTTGGATTGACTGGTTAATTACACTGATTAATTCTACTTGCTGAGTTGCACCTGTTTTTCAGTAAAGCTGAATTTGACACAGAGTACTCTTGCACAAATCCCAGGCATTAATCCATTTAATTAAGATCTCATCTTCTCTTTCACCTACCTGACTGTGCAGCCAGCTGGAGAGCATAGTCACTGCCTGACAACAGCTTTTCAGAGACCACCACCTCTGACTCAGTGGGCTGAGCAGAACGTAGGAGGTCATTGTCTGAGAGCTGTATTCCCTTTGCTATCAAGAAGCTTTCTCCAAAAGCAAAGTGGGAACGATTTGATGCTAAGATGAGCCGCTCTGCCTCCTCCACAAATTTCATGGCTTCCTGCTTAACACCTTCACATATACCAGGACCTGTAGAACCAGAGAGTATATTAATGTCTGTCTTCTAAATCCAGTAAAGATTGTTAAAACTAGCTGGGCTTTTAATTGGTATTTTCTGTTTCCTTCTGCACTCACTGAGTTTTGAATTGCATACAGAAGCAAGCAAGCAAGACTTGTCAATGCTTAGTTAATAAAACAGCAAGAGTCCAAGAGTACAAGGAATCACCCAAACATTCTCCAAGTCTTGGGCCAAAGCCTTGGTGATTTTAAGTTACCTCTTCCTCATTGGTTACAAACAGAGTTAATATGTCTCTACAGAACTGTCCCACAGTTTTTGTCATAAAAAATACAAAACATGGGTAATCAAAACCGACAGTGAGAAATGAAAATGAAGGTATATCCCTTGGGTCCAGAGTGGCAGTTGACACTTGGCCTATCCTCTTCATACATCTATTGATTCAGAAATGGCAGTTCAGCACAACAAACCAGCTCAGTGAAAGCTGCTCCACTAAAATTTCTCTCTGCTAATCTGCTTTATCACCTTTATTCCCCATTTGTCCACAGAACTGGCATTTATGGCACTCCTTCCCCGTTTGGTAGCTTGCCATTCTTTGTCCTGTCTCTTCCTCCCAGCTGGAAAAGCACTGTGAGATGAGAATGCTTTTAGTGACTGCATTTATAATATAGGTCATCTGCCGAAGTAACCCCAAAGAGGGCCCAACAGCTTTGGCTGAGATGACTAGACAGAGGGCTCACCAAGCTTCAGTACTGGCCTTACTCTTCTCCAAATAACGTCTAGGGGATATGTTATTTTTGATTCCATATTATGAAACAGTAAAGAAAATTCCTCTTGCCTTATTTTAAGGCAATGTAAAAAGTCATTTAGATCACAGTGTAATACTGAATTTTAGATACAACTCTTCATAGACCGTTTCTAACTTCAAAGTGTCCTTTTCTGTCTGGCTAAGTATCTTCTGCAAAAGCATTATATGCCCAAATTCCAAATTAGAATATCTACATGGAACTTTAAAGTTCTATATGGAACTTTATTCCTCCTTATTCCTAAAGCTGAGAGACCACTTATTTATGGAAAATGAGTTACCTCACCTATAGTGGCCTGTGACAATATCAGTATTGAAGACTTCTTGAACAAGTCATTGCCTCCCACTTCAGAGTAACAGTAATTGAAAGGAATTTACTCTTGTAGCATAAAAGCAAAGACCATGAACACTGCTATTTATGTGCCAGAAATTCTGTTACTTACATGCTGGGACCTGGTTCACTTCTGCCTTTGTCCCTTGCAGCTCTTCTCCTTTGCTATCAACACACCAACAATCACGAAGTTCAAAGTGGCTTAATGGAGCACTGAAATCAGTATAGGGTCCTGGATAATAAGTGAGCTGCTCATTCAGAAGCTGCCAGAACACATATGGATCCAGTAAAATGTTCTCAGATGCATACGTCACGTTTCCTCCCAGAACTTCAGGTGGGAGATCAGTGAAGGACGAATATGTGGTGAATGCTGGGAAGACATTCTGGTGCCCATCCTCATATAAAGCTTTAATAAAATCTGAAAAGCCTTTGGAAGATACCTCTTTATATCCAGCTATGATGTCCAAGAGGTTAGCAATGGGCAGGGTTTTGCCTCCATTGTTCTCTGTAATCCACCTTTCGTACCAGGCAAAGACGTGCTCGGGGGGGCCACTGCACTGCACCTGCCTCCAGGCACCCTCAGCATCACACTGTGGGACATAAACGCTGGAGAGTTGAGGGAGAGCCCTGGGATCTGACAACAGCAGTTTCGCAGCCTTTAGAAACTCCTGACCAGCTGTTACTTGGCAAGCACTTGGGCCTGGGGAAAAGAAAAACACGTACAGCATGCACTGAAGATACGCAATACTCCCTACCCCCCTAGTACTACAAACACTGTTACTAAAACTTGGTCACTTATCCCAATATCAACAACACCATTTCTGGCCTGGTTTTAAGAGGGCTAATGCTGTAAAGCATTTATGTTGAGCCAGGGTAAGATTTTCAAAGGCATGTGAGCACTGAAATATGCATATAGATAAGGTTTTTAAAATCAAGCATATTAGGTGCCTGGAGTACTTACTGGGGGGATAGGTGCTTTATGTCACCAAATGCCTTCCTGAATCTGTTCACACCAGCTAGGTATTTCCACATACACTTGATAATCTGGCAGTTATTTCTTACTCAGTAAATCCCTGCAAAAGCAACCTTCTGAATAGTAGCATAATACTGATTTTATTTCCCCTTGGACCTAACCAGAATTTTCAGATTCCGTTGTCCTCTCTTCCTATTTTCTACTGAATATTGCAGCTGAATATAAAAATTCCATCCCTCAAAATGCTAGAGTGAGTTTGTTTTGGAAGCCTTTTCAGCGTTCTCCAGTGCCAAATTTCATTTTGCCACCAAGCAGCTCTATAAACTTAGTAAACACTGGAGCTCATCTCCTTTTGAGTACAAGAGAACTACGAGACTGTTTATTTTTGACTGTATTACATATGGGTTGCTAGATATAAATCATATCATGGTAATAAATTCCCTACTACTTCTGCAAACTGCTATTCAAAGGAGGTCCTTCTCTATATGCCGCTCTCTGGTGGACACTCTGATACTCCTTCCAAAACGAGAAGAAGGCTCTTCTCTTGGTCTGCTCTCACCATTGATGTGCCATTTGAAAGACAATTATCCCTAGCTTATGTGCTTCCTTCTTCCTTCATGTTACATTACAGAAGGGCAAGAAGAGGAGTTCATAGTCTATAAGCAGATTACAATGCCAGATTGATGTCTGACAGGTCATTTGCAACTCATTTTTCTGGCCTGACTGGGTGACTTTTATGAGAAACCTATTAGACTTTGAGTTCCTGCAACATCCTACCAAGCTGAGCATATATTCTTTGAGATAAAAGCCTACTAGAGATTCATGGTTTAAGGCACTGAAGGTCTTCAGTACTCAGGACAAGAATGAGCCCGAGACCGTGCGCAGGTGACCTGGTCGTGGAAGTAAAAGGAATTTTCCACTCAGGGTGGCTCACGTTCAGTTACACAGATGTTCCATATCTCATGGGTATCATGGCTGTTACACATACTAACTACATGTTTAGGTAGAGACATATGCCAACGACATGCTCATTAATAAGGCAAGATCTCAGGCTCCTGTTTGGAGTGTGTCTACCCAATGCACTGAAAGAAGAAGGGACAATCTTTAAGACTTAGGATATCAAGGTTTTCACACTCTGTATTTGCCTCTATTACCCTGCAACTGTAGAGCTGACTTGCTTTCCTGTTAGGGGCCAATATTGTTAGTATACATCATCCATACATTTCCAGACATAATCAGACATGAAGAAAGAATCATCAAATTCCAACATAATAAGGAAGCATCTTTAAATTACCATTACTTGGACTTACATTGCGTCTTTCCAGCTTTTCCTCTTATTCCTGCAATAGTCTTGCCATTCAAATCAACACAGAAACAATTTGTCCCATAGCACTGGAGTGGTAGAAAGTCTCCGTCTTCGGTACAAGATGGAATAAAAAGATCTGATCCTGCAGGCAGGCTTCGTTTCAAGTTTTGTAAGCTTGTCCTTTGCTTCTCACAATCAGTGGGACACCTTGGATGTTTGCCTTGAACTCTTGAGCCTGGCACTTCCATACCTGAAGCGTCCAAACACCAGCACTCTCCTGCATAGCATTGAACTTCTTCATACTTTCCCTCCTTGGTGCATGTTGGAACAAACAGATCCTTTGGCTCCTCACCACAGTCTTTGGAGCCCAATGCTAGTTTCACCACTTCACCTAAATCTTCAGCAATGCTTCTGGGGACAGAAACAACTTGTTGAAGAAAAGTAAAGAACTCTGGTAGTTCCAGAAGAGCAGAAAGGAATTTCATCATATTCTGATTGTCCTGTAGAATTACTGTGCGGCCAAAGCTGCCTACAAGAGGTTTGCTCAAAATGGAGCTCCCATTTGATACCTCCAATGAAAATGCCTCAGCTGACTCCAGAAGGCCTTGGCCATTACCCTTCTCTGCCACATTCTCCTGTGGGAAAAATTGGCCAATGCTGTATTTCCCATTAGCACCAAGTGCCCCTGTGAAGTTAAACTGGACCAAATTCTTCAAGAATCTTCCTCCAAAGAGGTTTTCTTGGAAACGCTGTGGATTGGCAGTAAATTGCAGGGCCACTTGAGCCAGTTCCCTTGATGGGAACATCCCCATGATGGCTTCACTAAGAGTAGTTTCTAGCCCCGGAATCTGGTTGGCATATGGGCTTTGTGCCACTGGGGATGACAATCCAGAGTCCAGAAACAGCTCCTTGAAGGAAGGAGGGCAGGGTCTTGAGAAGCTAGATTTTCTTTCCGACTGTGTATCTGATGAGGAAAACAAATTGGGCTGACGGAAGGACCCAGCAGGGCCATAAAAGATCCTTGACAATGCCCGTCGCCTCTCAGAGATGCACCGTCGTTCTTCACCTAGACAAAGATTTTTTTTAAAAAAAATGTAAATTCTGGAACCTCCAGAATCTGTAATTCTATGGCTATCATTCAAGTAGTCTCTAAAAAAAAAGTTACAGGAAAGTGTAGTTTAATCTGTCTCTAGTTCCTTGACTATGAATCATGCAGATTGATACAGAAAATTGAATTATTATTGAGTATGGCCTATAAATAAAATTCTCCATTCAAGAGAAAAAGTGAAAGGAAACATTCCTTCACCACATATGAGTTGTCTGCTCTGTGGTCTTGCTCTAGTTCTGTTGTTTCCCAGTGTAAATCTTCAATCCTGTTCCTACGGCTGGAAGAACAAATAAAGTCTTTTCCATATGCTTTAACTCTCTGGTAGGATGCCTGCTTATAATGAAAACCTCCAATGATCCAGATGCAATACGTGAACCTAAGAAAGAGGCATAAACTGCAGAAAAAAATTTATTTTAACTAATGCCTCCTAATGAGGAACTTATGGAGGCTTCCTACCTAGATCTTCAGTTTTGTAGTGAAGTGTTCATTACAAGAGATTTGGAAAAAATATTAAAATTAGCAGCGATAGAGTGCTAAGGACCAGAGAGCATTCATAAATGAACTCTAAAGGAAAAAAAAAAAAGTATAAAATTTCAACAAAAATAGTCAAATGCCAGAGTACCAACAGTAGCCCTGTCCACCCACATCCTAGGCCAAGCTATGCCATAGGTGTATCTGCATCCAGCCCCATCTGTACATTCATAAACAGTCAACAATGGTTCTAAGTTAGGATGCAACACATCGCTGAAGAAGGACTTGAAGAAGTCAGCTGAAGGCTCAAAAAAACATCAAAAAAGGAAAGACTTGGTAGATATGAAGACTTTGAGAACCAAACGGACAGGATGGTTATGGCAGTGACTAGTTCTCTGGAATGCACACAGCAGCTTGAAGCATGTGCAACATGGGTACCTTTCTTCGAAAAGCAGCAGAATTGTAAAGAAGGGACAGAAAAATATTTTGAGGATCGAGTAAATTTTCCAGGAGGAGAGGCTACTCAGCTGGGAAAAAAAAAATATGGTAAAAGGTTTTTAAAAGCCAGGATTCTCCAATCAATAACAATAGACAATAATTATTCAGTATTTCTCACAGTACATGAATTAGAATGGTCCATAAATAGAGCACATAATTATCATCATGAAATTTATTGCCAGAGGATGCTAGGAAGGGTAGAAGGTTAAAGGGCAATTACGTAAATCCCTGGCAGATGACTCTATGGAGGAGTGCTGAACACAATGACCTGGGTTCAGCTTCCAGTTTGAGGTCTCTCCCACCTGCAGGTAGATATATGGAAGCTACATGCATGGCTCATGTTTCTCACACTGTCTCCCTACACACCACCGCTGTCCCTCCAGGGGACAGGATGGTGGATAAACAGCCTCGCTACGTTCCAGCACGACCTCCCTTGGGCTTTCCACCCCATTCCCATTTATTCTACATTCAGGCAACATGATAAAGCAGTCATAAATCCTGTTAACAGTAAGCATAAAAGCTGGAAATCTTAAAAGCTGCTAGAACAGATTAGAAAGTAATCTGAGGCTCTGTGACCAGCATCTTTTTCACTCCTCCTTTTGCACTCATATCCTGCTCCACAGGTCCTGGCAGGGTCTCAGGGTCCCTCACAGTGGTTCCTTTGTAAAGGCTTTTTCTGTAGGATGGGTCGCTTTTGTTTTCAGCATTGGCTCTTGGTAAGAGGGATGAAGAACATTCCTCTGGGGACCAATAAGGTAGTGTAAGCCACAATCCCGCAAGTATGCTAATACGAAACAAATGTAGGATCGTGGTCTTTAAACATTTTCCCCTCCTACCTGCTGTTGAATCAAATCAAAGCAGCGAGAGAAGGAATAAACAGAAAAGCACTGCTGGTGTGAATTTGTTATAAAAGATCTGAAAAAAAGCATGTCACTATCAGGGCTGCCAGGTCGTGTGAGTACCCAACGTGCTACTCACACCTACATCTCTGCCTCCTTCAGTGTTCACACTGTTGAGTGTGAGAGTCAAAGATATTAAAAGAGAAACAAAACAGATCAGAACTGGAGACACACACGTGGCAGGTAGCTGTCTGAACACAGACTGCAGCTATATCCTCATGAAATACCTTCTCAGGAGTTAGGCTGCAAAACCTCGGCAGAAATTTTTCAGTCTTAAAATTTCCTGAGTCCTCCAATAAAAGTTGCAAGCAATCTCAAGTCATTGCCCACCCCCACCCTTCCCTCCCCTCCAAAAATAGTCAACAGAAGGGCTCAGCAAAGCACATTCAAAGTGAAAACAACCAGTCCCAACATATGGAGAGGCCTCTCAGATATTCCCTTGCAATATCCTTGGTGATCAGCCTTGGAGGTATGCGAACGTTTTCATTTTGCAGTAAGCCTGTCTGTGCCCAGACAGTACTCGGAGCAACTTGGAAGCGTGACACTGAGGGCAAGTTCCTCCTTCTCTATCTGCATGGCAAGACACTGTCTCACAGACAGAGCAATTACCTTCCCTGAAGGTGGCCCCCGCATTAAGACCCTGTGCCCCAGCCCAATCCTGAACACTTAGGTAGTGTACTTCAGAGCAAAGATTTTACTTTCCTCCTCCCCTCAGGCCCTTGGACTTTTCTGTTGTCGTTTCCATTTGAAGCACTGATTTATTGGTATATTCTTCATGAAATCTCTGAAAGCTCAAACTTATATACTTTTCTGAATTCTTTGGGGTGTTTTTTTACTGGATTTGGCAATTTTCATGGCCAAATAGGCAGTTACAGAGATAGGAAAAAATGCTCAGGATGAGAGATGCCTTCAAATTTCCATGGCATTTCACTAAAGGAAGCAGCTAAAACTCAAAACTACAATTACTGGCTTACTTTTATTATTCCAGATATTCTGACTTAACACCCCAGCTTCTGGAGTCAAGAGACGGATATCACAGCTGCAAAGAAAAGCTTTGCTGTATGCGAAACTAAAAGGCTGAAGAAAGGTTAAAAAGGAAAATTAAATATGGTATTTAATAACGCCTTAGAACATGGCTTTTAACCCCAGGGAGGTTTTGGGGTCTCAGCTTTTGAACACCAGAATCTGTCGGAGCCTAGAAGGGCATGGGTCCTTTGGTTTTCTTTCTAAAGATACCAAGAGATGTGCTCAGTTTTCCTTTTCCAAACCTCATACATACCGCAGGCCGGTGGTTGTCCCCGTCTCTTTGTGCCCTGGACTTCTTGCCCTTTGGTGTCCACACACCAGCACCGTCCTCCCTGCTCACACTGCACAGGCGTGTAGCCCCCAGCACCATCACAGGTGGGGACATAGGCGTGCTGGTAACGCAGGGCTGCGTACCTCTCAACCTCGCATTTTGAGGGGCCTGGAAAAAAAATTGTGTGAGTTACAAAGGGAAAGCTTGAAGTTTCAGAGTCATCTCTGCTTGATTCCATTGTTTGCCTATTTGGAAGGAAAAAAAGAAAAAAAAACGTTTAATTTCCTGACTGTTTCCAGTGACACTTCAAGTACTAGCCCAAAATGCAAATTCTCTGTCCTCTTTTCCCTGGACAAACGGCCTGAGGGTTTTCTACCATAGGTATTCATGCTTGAAAACTAAACAGAAAATAAAACCTCAACACATTTTCCAGTCATAGTTGTGGGTAAGCAGAGCAGCAGCATCTCTCTCAAGGAGATGTGCTGGAGGTGAGGAGAGCTCTGGCCCTTAGTGCAAATGAGAAGCTGGTCAAAGATAGATGTGCAGCTTGGGTGACTGAGATGAAAGCAAATACCAATGTTTCTGAAGAGAATGAGGCATTGGTCCTGCAAAAATATGTGCACCTGACTGGGGAGATTTGGTCAGGGACCACATAATTTCTTCATTTTCCTCCACAGGGATCTGAACATTCTATTCCTGTCAAGCTGGTCTTAAGCTGATCTTAATGGTAGAGAAGCAAAAACTCTATAAATTAAATTTTCTGAGTTATGATCTCTTCAGTGCTAGACTCCACCCTTCCAACAGAAATTTTTCTTGTTTATATAAACCTGCAATCTGACAGCCTAAACATTTCTCACCTTCCCGAGCTTTCCAGCCACACTCGGCTACCAGGCTGAGGCAACAAGAGCTTCAGGTCAGAGCAACCTGCTCATGGAGAAAGTCTGACAACTTTCCTAAAGCTTCAGGTGGCGATGTGAGATCTGGCATCTGGCAAAGTCACCAAAGTGGCTGACAAACGCGGTCACATCACCATCTTGTGGCTGTTACAGCTTCAACTCTGCCCACAGCTGCTGAATCTCTGGCTGCAGTCAGAGCTTACTCAACAGCACTGAGCAGCAGGAGGGGGAAGATGCTTTCTAGACTCCCCAGAACAATCCACTTGTCTCAGAAACAGAAAACCCTTGTCACCATGCAGCCAGAAGAATTCATCAGTATCTGCTTAATATCTCCAGTGATGCAATGCCTTAGTGAGGGTCAGAGAGCAATGTCAGAGGAATTTGGATGGGAGGATGAAGCATCACACCAGGGCGTTCAAACTCTGCCCAGTCAAGGCTATTCTCTTGGGCTCTGGTGTAAGAGAGAGGAGGTACCTGACCTGTCCCACAGAGTTCACTGCCCTTCGGGAGAGAAACTCTCTCTCCATCTGCTGCCCCAGCCAGGGAGGGAATGGACTCAAGGGCAGATCCAGAAGTTGAGCGTTGCTGGCTGAGGCACTGCAAACTCTTTGTGTAGCCTCCTGGGGACTGAGTGTGTAGTGGTCAATGTAAGGTCCTTCCTACTGCTGACTGTACCAACATAAATTAGGGATTTTCCCAGGTTCTTAATTTAGTAAATCAGATCCACTTCGATAATCTCAGCGCAAGAGATATGGAGAGTTCATGGGATTTCAACTAACATGAACTTCAAATGCATGGGAGAGCCCTGATCAGAGGACAGGTACAATCTGCTGATAAGTGTACAATCCAGAGGTTAAAAGGCAGCTGCAATTCCAGGACTTTGATTCTTGCACTGAAACTGTGATATTATACACTTCTAGTGCAAGAGATTCCTAGAGCAACTCTCCCCGATAGCAGCTGTCACATACAAGCTCCAAAATCATCACCTTACTTACAGGGTATGCCCCGGGTGCCACTTACATCTGAACTTGCCAGAGGTAGCTAGCTGAACCCCCAGAAACCGCCTCTGCAGAATCCGATATACGGTGGTCTCCGTGAACGTGCGGGCAGGCTCCAGCACAGAGAAAACTGTGTCATAAACTTCATCGAGCAGCAGTTCCAAGCCTGGGAAAGAATCATAGAATCGTAGAATTGTCAGGGTTGGAAGGGACCTTAAAGATCATCTCGTTCCAACCCCCCTGCCATGGGCAGGGACATCTCCCACTAGATCAGGCTGCCCAGAGACCCTTTTAGCACAGAGCTACTTTTAAGACAGAAATCTTTACACCAGAGCAGCAGAACTGGAAGTCTATCAGGAAAAATAAAGCCAGCCCTCTAAAGACGCGAAATGTGAAGTTAAACTGCACAACCCTAATGCACCAAACAACCCACTGCTGAATGCCTAGTCACCAGCTTTATGCCTTGACATCTACCAAAACAAGCAGGAGGAACATCCCATAACTGGCACTGCAGTGTGGTTTTGTTAGGTTCAACCTGCAGCAGAGTGACTGATGGAATTTTGGAAACCAGTGCTGCCAAAAAGCAATTCCCAGTCATTTCGCTTGTACATGCAAAAAACAGATGATGTGCAGTATTTTCCCTGAATGCATAATTTTTTGAGAACTTCTCACCCTTGCAGAAATTAAATGTTGAAGCTCTCATCTACCATCTAAATTTTAAGCTACCATGCTTTGCATTTTTCCCATTTTTGCTTTATTTTTTATTTTTAAAAAATATTTTTTTTTAAGGAATAGCAGCTGGAAGTCCTCAATCTCTTCATTCCTCCTTCTTAGTAAAAACATTCTTTCATCTAAAGTGTCCCATCACCTGTTAATACGCTAAAAAGTATCCTGAGGCTATGAGACTTAAAGGAAGGACCACTAGATGTCCCCACCCATGGGAGGGAGCTTGGACTACATGATCTTTAAAGATCCCTTCCAATCTAAACCATTCCTCAATTCTACCTGAGCTAGAGGAAAACAGTTCACTCTACAGGTCCTTAATATTCCTCTGCATTTGTTAATTGGACTCACTGAATACAATGCAGCTTTCTAGTATGGGCAGAAGTTAGAAATCCAGAAATCCTATTCTATCATCCCAAAAAGGACAGGATTAGCTCCCAGGCAGCATCTCCTATTGCTACTGACTGAAAAGCTTCTCCCAAGAGTGGGATCTCATTCGTGAGCTCCAGCCTTTCCCATGGGCAATACACAGGTCACAGTGGTCTTACCCCTTCTGAGAATGAAATTGAACTCCGAATTGAATTTGAAGATTGATGCTTGTTACTTGTCCTTTCCCTCAGGAATTCAAAGGCATTCAAGACAAGGGATCAGATGCTGGAGGGTACTTACCTGTGTCTGCTAACTCTCTCCCCAGGCTGTCCACACAGTAACAGTACCCAGAGACCTCCGGGAACATCTCCCGCAGGGAGCTGAACGTTTGGAAAGCCCTCGGGAGCCTGGAAGGAAAAGCAGTCTCCTGTGAAGAGCTCAGGAGGCCCGTTGACAGCAACAAAGCATCATCTGTGTTTCCCTCTCACATCTGTATGGCAAAGATGTCTGCAGAGCAGCCACGAAGCCATCACAAACCTCTTCAGTCTCCTTGTGGCAACCAGATTCTGACGTGACCCAGATCAAAGTTTCAGAGTGCCGAGTCTCCTAAACGGCATTTTTTTTAGACAAACACAGGACTATCTCCCTACAGAGAGATTTCTGACTCTTCTTAAGCAGGTACCCAGTATCTAACACTCATTTTTAATTCTATTCTCATCTTTGAAAGCCTGTCAAAGAGTGTAAAATAGACGGTCGCTGGCTCAATATTATTTCAACACCTGTTCATTAGATTGTTCCACAAATCTGCACAGGATAGCAGAGTGCCTAAGCAAACAGGTTGCTTCCTCTTCCCTATGTGCTACGTACACTTTCTGCACTGTATTAAGCAGAAAAGCTGATAAAAACCTCACTAATCTTTTTCATTTTCAGAGCATGGCTCAATAGATTAAGGAGAAAGGGTTTAAAACATATTACAAGTAAGCTTGACTCTTATTTCTGGAGATCAAAGAGACACTACTTTCCAGTATAATATTTTAGGAGTGACAACAGCCAGATTCCAGCAAAGAAATTATCTAGGAAGGAAATTTAATGGGGTCAGAGTTGGAAAAAACATAATAAATGTGATCTTCATTCACACACACTCTAGGGTTTCTCCAAGCAAACAGAAGATAAGTTTTTATAGATTCAAAGTGATAAGTTCCACAACTACTGTATTCTTTTACAGACACATACCCTTACCCTGAAAAATGTTTAAAGTCTGGCGTCCCAGCTGCACGTGGCTTATTTGGGAAAATCTAGCAACAGGGGGGTAGTAACCAGAGAACTACAAAAATTAGGTTTCTACCAAGGAAGGACACTTAAGAAGTAAGAGTAAGGGTGAATAAGGCTCTGATCAACTGGGAAAAAAGTCTGCTGTGCCAAAGCAGTTTATGGCGACTCTGTGACACTGGGACTGGGACCACCCTCAACCCCAGCGTCACCCTCCTGCAGCCTCAGGGCTGCTCTAGCACATGCAGTCTGTAGTGCCCTGAGACAGGCTTGTCTGCCCCAGAGCCAGCAGTCTTGTGAGAGGAGTGGAGAAAAGGGCCTTTGCTACCTTCGAGAGCCTGCCCGAGAGCTCTTGCCATGAGAGATGAAGATGTTACTGCTTCCTCAATACACCAAAGCTCGAGCTGGTGAATGAAGGAAGAAACAGCAACTTCTGGCAGAGGAAGGGGCTGGTAATCTCAAGATTGTCTCAGTGTCATCCAGCAGTGTTCCTCTCTCAGAGCTTGCACATCGCTGCTTCACTCTTCCACTTCTTCAAATTAAAAGCCTCACTGACTCTCCACTTTGGATCACCCAATCCTGCTCTGCTGCTGGCACTGACAAGCTAAAAGCAAACAAAATGAGCTTCAGGGCAAAAAGGGACTTCTGCAATGCAATTTAAGATACAAACACCTAAATATTTTAAGATATAAACACTTATTTAAGATATAAACACCTAAATATCCATTCAACTTGACCTTGAATATTTCCAAACTCTGTCCTTGGAAACATTTAAGGCGAGTTTGAACAAGGCTCTGACCAACGTGATCTACTTGAAGATGTCTCTGTTCACTGCAGGAGGGTTGGACTTGATGGCCTTTAAAGGTCCCTTCCAACCACAACTAGTCTAAGATTCTATGAAATATCATCTTTCTACTATCTTCAATGGCTGCACAGACATAAATAGCTTTGGGGTATTTTAAGAGCTTTCTGCTCCCTTGAATTACCATGTGCTGGCCACTGACCAGTCAGGAATATGATTTCTTCTCTTCCAAGAAGAGTAATGCTCTTATATTTAGAGGCAGACCTCTGTACCACTCATGTCCTCGAAGGTCATCACCTCAGCATCTCAACATCTAGCTGAGTGTAACAGGATGCACTGAAAAAATTCTGTGTGCCGCTTGCTTTCATCCTCAACATTAAGAACTCACGTGCATAACCATAGTACTTTTATATGGGGCAGATGTGTAGTCATATCCTGTCATTCAGGTTATTTTTGTTCCAAGTTGAGAGTACAGCTAAATAAAGTAAAAACAGATATACATTAGGCCCACACAAACAAGAGGATAGAACTTTTCTTCCCTTACTTGGAAAGTTCACTTCCTACCGCTTCTTTTCTTTCTCAGCCTCTTTGTAATTACAGCCCTTGAGATGAATAGCACTATCACAGAGTAGATCATCTATCAGACCCAGTTCAAAATGATGGCTAAAGCAAAGGTTTAAGTTATGGATAAATTAATAGCATGTGTTTTTCAATAAGAATACTTGCACTGAAAAATATGAGAAAACAAATAAATGTGAGATTGTTGACCTTTTCTTCAAACTGTGAGTCTCTGCTCTTGGCTCCAGCAAAGACAGCTCAATACTGATCTTCAAAAGCAGGTTTGCAAGTAACCACTTCTATATTTTGTAAGTGCAGCTCAAGTTATAGCTGCCTTTCTCTCTGACTCCTCAGAAGCAGAGTGAGAAACCAAATCATGGGTTTTTTCCACTGCCAATGGAATAATGCACAACAGGGCAGAACCTCCAGTGAGTTGGAATAAAGACACTGACACAAGGTCTTCAGTCAGATGAAAATTATAACACAAAAATAAGATCTTTCTTGACTTTTGATCATTTGATCATTGTCACCCTGCTACAGGGTTTTTAATATGGCTGCCCATATAGCACAGTCCATAGAACTGTGCCCGTATGGCACAGTCTGAATAAAATAAGTAACAGCAGCCAAGTCACCAAGGTGAAGCAGGAAATTTGGGCTCATCTCACTTTCCTCTTGGGAAACTGTTAGCTCTAAGCTTCTGAATTTCTCCATTTATTTTTTAAAACATATTGATGTATTCTGGAATATTTATGATGATGCAGGGAAATGGTTTGGGAAGGGAGTCACGGAAACACATTCAGATCAAAAATCAGTCTGTGGAACCAAAGGAAGTCACTCCACTGATTCCTCATGAATATAAAATATGAGTTTAAATCCTTGTTCTGCTATGGTACTTTGTTACGGAACTCAGCCCTTCAACTCCCTATTCTGGCCTCCTGTTTATGGGCTGCGATAATGACATTTCAGGCAGAAATAGTGTGAAAAGAAATATACTAATGACCTGAGATACTCAGATATTATGGTAATGGCTAATGGGTTAAGTCAGTGTCATGAAAAGAAAGGTAGACAGCTGGGAGTGAAATGATCCCGCTGTGATTAATTACATGACATGGACACAAGAAAAGCCCAACCTTGCAGGTCTTTGCAGGCAAATCTCCCAATGGGAGAAAATGAAAATGCTAATTTCAAGCATTGCCTTCTCCTCTGTAATTGCTCTTTTAGAATTTCCACATTCCACAGGCGAACAAACAGACAGATTATTTTGCTCTTGCCAAAATAACCTCTCCTGAAGCTTTGACAAATTTGCACTGTGCATTTGGGTCTGCCTTTCAGGGTTGTTTAAGTCAAAAAAGAAAAACCTCAAAACAGCAAAACTGACATTTACAATAAAATGCCTTTGCTACTACAGAGTCAAGTCAGAATTAGACATTACATTTACTCCACTGCCCTCCACCGGAGAATATGTTGACAGAGATGTCAAGATAAGGGCACTTAATGAGAGACCAAAAGGTTTATCTGGCCAGTCTGAAAATATGCACCAAAAGAAACTCCTCTCCCAGCAGTTCCCTTTGCCAATGCCTTACTTCACAGAATCATAGAATCATTAAAGTTTGAAAGGACCTCTAAGATCATCAAGTCACACTGTCAACTCAACACCACCATGACCACTAAACCATGTCCCAAAGTGCCACGTGTACATGTTTTTTGAACACGTCCAGGGATGGTAACTCCATCACTTGCTCGGGCAGCCTGTTTCAATGCCTCACCACTCTTTCAGTGAAGAAATTTTTCTAATATCCAATCTAAGTCTCCCCTAGAGCAACTTGAGGCCATTTCCTTTTGTCCTACTACTTGTTACCTGGGAGAAGAGATGCAACTCGTTACAGCCCCTTTCAGGTAGTTGTAGAGAGTGGTAAGGTCTCCCATCAGCCTCCTTTTCTCCAGCCTAAACAACCTCAGTTCCCTCAGCTGTTCCTCATAAGATTTGTTCTCCAGTTTTGTTGCCCTTCTTTGGACAAGCTCCAGCACCTCAATGTCTTTCTTAAACTAAGGTACCCAAAACTGAACACTGTGCTCAAACTGTGGCCTCACCAATGCGGAGTATAGGGAGATAATCACCTCCCTGTTGCTGCTGGCCACACTATTCCTGATCCAGGCCAGGATGCCATTGGCCTTCTTGGCCACCTGGGCACACTGCTGGCTCATGTTCAGCCGGCTGTCCATCAACACCTCCAGGTCCTTTTCTGCCAGGCATCTCTCTGTGACCCAAGTGCAAGACTCTGCACTTGGTCTCAATGACTCTCATAACAATTGACCTTGGCCCATTGATCCAGCCTGTCCAGATCCCACTACAGGGCCTTCCTACCCTCCAGTGGATCAACAGTCCTGCTTGATTTGGTCGTCTGCAAACTTGCTGAGGGTCCTCCTCTTGAGCATTAATTCCCACCTCCTCCACAGGACAATGGCTTCTTACTCCTGCAGAGAAGGATTTGATCTAGCATTTTGAAATCTTCCCAGCTCTTTTCAGCTACCCAAAGTCAGTCACATGTCAGCATGCCCGTTCATCACTTGCTGGTTCACCTGTGTGAGCAACCTTGGCGTTGCCTAAATGGACAAGAGTTTCCTACCATCATAGGCAACTTGCTTATTGTACGCTGCCACTTATCTGTCTGTTTTCATCTCCCCTGTGGAATCACCTTTCCTACCTCACATACACAATTCCTCTGTTCCTTGTGTATTTACCTCCATTGCTGTTGTGTGTCTGTCTGAAAAGTAGCCTCGGCTGCTTCCCCAAATATAGATCACAATGTGATTTCCACCGCTGCATGAGGACACACTGGTCAGACTGCAGAGATGGAATAACTTTTTTTTTTTTCTAAATAAGCAAATTTAATTCAGAAGAAAAAGGTTTTATTTTTACTTGGTCCATTCATTAATAGAAAACACCATCATGTCCAGTCACAGAAGAGATTCATGTGGACAAAACCACCATAAAACAGTGACTTTAAGAGGTATGCTGTATTGCTTTGCTATTTCAGAAGCCTGCACTCTTACCTGTTATAACTATGAACAAGATCAAAAAACATCATGTCTGTAGTGTTGACAAACTTGCACTGGACAGGTAGAAACTCTCCATCTGCTGAGCACTGTGGTGGACTCTTCTCCCCAAAACCGTGCAGAATGCGACGGTCTCGGATCTCACAGTTTCCTGGACCTGATGGAAGCATAGGTAATATTTATTGATGTTTTAGCTTCCCACAAACAATTGAATAGCCATTCCTCAGTTTGAAAGGAGTTTAGACTTGTTACATTGACCATAGACACTACAGTGCCTTGTATTGTCTTTATGAGGAACAGGGAGTTGGACTCAATGTCCTTACGGGTCCATTCCAACTTGAGATATTCTATGATTCTACAAAACAGGGACTTAGATGCCTCAGTTAAACACCTGTACTTCTATAGGATAAGCATAGACTGCAGTGTCCAAGCTCATAATCTGCCAACTTTGTCATTGACAGCAAACCTTTCAAATTTACAAAACCCAGCATTTTGTTGAATATTACTTACAGCGTGTTGGCTTTCCTCTCTGCCTGGTCCCATAAATCTCCATTCCTTCTGGATCTACACACCAGCACTGACCCAGCTTTGTGTCACACTGAACTGCATCAAAAGCCCCTGAATCTAGGCACTGAGGGATGTAGGAGATGATGCTGCTGTTGATGTATCGACTCACCAAGATGCTCTGTTTTTGCAGTTGGCAAAAGGATAAGCCTGTGGTACCACAGAGGAACATTATTGGAGGACATATTACTTTTTGGGCACTAAATCATTTATTAAGACAACATCCGAGTTTTTTTCAGAGCTCCAAGTTTGATTCTGCCACCCACAAGGCATGAGGACATTGATGAGGTTATGAAAATCAGTACAGAGAAACCCACCACAGGTAGAATTGAAGGTCTCCAGCTCAAAAGATGATACACTAAGTTGATTGTCCATTCATGACTTACATTACTTTGACCTTCAGAAATACAGACCATCCAGCTGTATCAGGTTTTCATTATCTGCCCTGAAAAAACTCCAGAACTTCCACTAGAAAGACCCAGCAAATCACAACAAACTACAGTCCATCAAAGTCTGAGAGTAACTGTTCTTGATTTCAGCAGTTCAAATGCAGATTTAAATGGTTCTTTACCCAAGCTGAATAAAAATAGGAAGTTGGGACTTACAAGATATGGGATATCCATTCTGTTTGCTGCCAGGTACCTCAACGCCGTTCTCATCCACACACCAACAGGAAAGACCATTCCTATTGCACTGAACTGTCCTGAAGTAGACCACAAGTAACATTTTTTATTTTGTTAGTGACACAGTCAGTATGGGACATAAACAAAAACATAAAGTGAGCCCAAAAAGTGCAAGTACTTTAACAATGCAAATGAATGTAATCAGAAAGGGATGTGTTTCTTGTGACTCTATCTGACTGGAGCTCTTAACTCTAGTAATTCTCTGAAGTCTTCAGGAATTGCAGGTAAATGACTTGAAGTCATTCAGAAAGCAAATTGTATAGAATCCTGAATTACCTGAACTGTCCATCTTCTAAGCACTGAGGAACGTAGGTTTCTCCTCCTGAAAAAGCCTTTTCCCTCTGAAGTTCGCATGGGCGTAATGGTTGGGAATCTGTCTGATACTCTGAAAGCAGCAAGAAGGCAAATACATATGGATGGTTTCACCACAAGCCTGTTCTCATCAAACCCTGTTACGGTCAACACTGTGTGGTAACAGCCCCAGGTTCACGTGTCCCTGGTTGTTTCCCCATTGCTCCTTGAATGCATTTCTGTGTGGGGCAGCACAGGGAGGTTCTAAACAAACTCGCTGCAGGATAAGCACGTGATGGAGGCGTTCATGAACCCCTTTCCCAGGCCTGACTTTAATTAGTTAGCCCAGACTTTAATTCATCTCTGCTCTGTTCTGTACCGGTATGGCAACCTTTTTCTGGTACCTGGGGTATTTTACTTAGAGTTAATTGTGCCTGTCACCACAAAATAGCCCTTTGCCCTAACCATACACATAACTATTAATGTTTCTGAGTATTTATTCCTTATTGAAGCTAAGTCACTCACTATTCCACAAAAAGGAGAAGTGTTTCTTCTCAATCTCATGACAGAGCTAAAAAGAATCAATGTCTAGCAGTTAACATCTGACTAATTCATATCAGGAACATTTCTCAGTGTTTATCAGGGCAAGTGATCAACTACTGACCTAGTAAGAAAGCAATCAACTCATCAGTTCTCAATGTATTCAAAACCACATTTGCATGCTGTTTTAGGACAATGATGAAATTCAATAGGTTTTCTCCACAGAACACGTTACTTGATCTGACACTTTCCCCATCCTCAGAAATCTAAGAAATATCATGCTTTTAATTCCATTGACTAATTCTATAAAAACATAGCAAATAAACAAAACTATAGCTACAGCAATTTAGAACAAAGATTCACTCGATCCATTATTTAGTCTGAACGTGACCACATGTAGCAGTGCAAATACATCATGAATATTCTGAATACTTTTCAACTTCCACTAATGTGCAGCTCAGGGACTTCTTTAACCACAGATGCTTCCTGTGCATTTAAGAGCTCTCAATAAGTTTTGCTTTTGTGATTTTTTACTGTGTCCCCTTAAGCCCATGTGAATTTTTTTCACGAGGCTCTAAAGGGATTTTAGGTTAGCTCACCTACACATATCCACATGTAGGCAAACCTCACCATTTTCATCTCAAATGACAATGACAGTTGATCTGGGATGTGTAGAGATCCCTGTGTACAGCACTAGAGGGTCTAAGACATCTGAGTTAAGAGATTAATTTGACAATTCGTTTGTGGTGCAAGACTATCAAACTCAGACCAAAGAGCTGGCAATCAGGCTATCCAGCGTCTTAAGTTTCAAATCTAAAGTAGGTGACAGCATATACAAGCAGAAGACACAATCTTAGGACCTTCACCTCTCTGCAGTGCCACCTTTTCTTAATCAAGCTCCTTCTCTAGCCCAGCCTGTTCTTTGAGATTTCTATTTTCCACCCAAAATCCACATATACTGAAATTAGATAATCCTGACCATTTACAAATCCTTACAGCTTTGTGTTTAACCTGGAGCCCAAAATCGCTTTGCACAGTGCACACTAGCTAAGGCTGCAGTGCGCAAGATTCAAGACTATTATATACTTCATCAGAATAATACACAGAGCAGCACAGAGATCACACATAGGAGAGCAGTCACTGCTGGGCACAGGCAAAGGAAAAGAACAAATGTACTTACCAAATATATTAGCTGCTACTATGCTTAAAAAGCAGCAAAGAAGGCTGCAAAATGGGATGGAGCCCATCTTGCGATGGGAGAGCTCCATCCCCTTCTGTCAGCGAGGCAGCCCTGAACACCCCGTGTAGCCTTCACCTGCCTTTTTATAGCAACCACTGCACAGATGGGTCCACTTCTGTGCTGGTAGACTGGCCACAAAATTGGGTGAGTGACGCATAGGATGCTTCTGAGAAAACTATGAGAGGCCCGCTCACCTGGAACAGCCCTCGTGGTTCTCCTCAGCCTGTTCTCATCCCCACTCCAGGGAGCGGCGCTGAGCCTGGTCATGGAGAGGAGATCAAGCGGTTGCAGGCACAGGAGAGACTTTGTGAAATCAAGATGCAAATCGAGTGTATGGACACGACCTCGGCCAAGAGCTCCTGCTCTCAGCCGTGCTGTGGTGCAAGCAGGCTTTGTGCTCTCTGTCATCAGGACACATTTTTTCTTGTGTCTCTAGAGAGCCTGGCCTGCTGAGGGGACAAGCAAGAGTTAGGCCTCCAAGCGCTGTAGCACTAGCAGTAAATACAATTCATATAATCATCATCATAGAATCATAGAATGGCCTATGCTGGAAGGGACCTTAGAGATCATTTTAATCCAGCCTTCCTGCCGCCAGGGACGCCACCTCTCGACTAGATCAGGCAACACATGGGGACCAAACGGGAATGTTGTGGCTTTTTTTTTAATTAAGTGAAAAACAGGATGGATGCAACTCTAAACCATGGAATGGTTTAGATGAAAGTGACCCTAAAGATCATTTAGTTCCACCCCCCTACCATGGGCAGGGACGCCTCCATTGACTATGAAGAGAAGTGAAGGTCAGAGTCAATTGCATTTGACTTTTTGCTTTTACTCTCACATGCACCACGCACTTTATCACAGTTAAGTATCCGATGGGAAGCAGCTGAGCATCCTGGGCTTCATTCCCCACGTGTAAGATAAGTATATGCATTAAGCATGGTAAGTCAGGCTTTTTGGTACTAATTACATCCTAAAACTCATCAGAAATATTTCCTTGGTTCTAGAGTATCACTTCTCACTTGTCCACCTCTTATGACTGTGAGTCAGCAGTTACTTGCACCAGGAATTATGACAACTGGCCCTCACTTGTGCAAAGGTGGTTGGACAAATGCATCTAGAATAATTAGATAAATAATAACAGAAGCACATGTTTGAGCTTGGCCTTTGGCTGATCTCAAGGAAAGTGACAGCAGCACTCTTACGATTCTTGTCTACCAGACAGTCTAGAAACAACTCTGCTGACAGCCTCTTACAGACCAAGATTGTGCTTGCAGTGATCTAAGCATCCGTGTGGGTTGCAGACCACTGCAGTGCTACAGTGCTTCATATACACGGTAAATAAAGCAGCACAAAGTTGCTTTAGCATAACTTGCCTTTTTAAACTCAGTGGGACTATATTTTGATTTTATTTTCAAGCAATCTATGCTGAACTCGAGGAAAATCAACAGTCCATAGGAATATCAAGCTGGGGAAAGATGAAGAATGTGTGCAGCACCACACAGAGGCAACCTCCAGAGGCATAAAGAAGAAAAATCCCGTGACAGCCCTGATTAAGCAGATACAGAAGGAGAATTAATATCTGGATTAGCATAGCACTTTTTTGTAGGGAAACGTTCATGCAGAACAAAGGAATCTGGCTAAACTGAGAATAGTCAGCATTAGCACTAAGGTGGCAGGGTCAGGAAAGATGAAAAATTTGGCCATGACATACATTTCTGATTCAAGTATGCTTCTAGAGCCTCAGGTTTGTGTCTGAGCCTGAGACAGTGGGACAATGACAGGAGAGTGACAAGAGACAGCCCAGCCCAATGCCACGGGCTCTCCAAGGCATCAGGGTCCGAGCTTGCATTGACATTTCCAAGCCACTGGAACACGTCCAGGTGTGTGTCTGGGGTGTGAGTGTGTGATATTGACTCAGTCCATTTTTCCAAAGTTAGCAAAAAAGTGTCATTCAGGGTCTTTGCACAGCAGATGGGGTGAGAAGGAAGCTCATGGAAGTGGCTATTTGCTACCAAAGGACATCAAGGGCTGATAACAGAGTAAGGCAGAGACGAAACCAAGGATGTATTAAAGAACTGTTACTAACAGAAAGAAGCACAATAGCTGTATAGTGCTGACTGCCAAGGTTACTTTTATTTCCTTCAGAAACACTCAGAAAAGAACCTCTGAACTAACCAAGTTGAGAAGAACAGCCAAGTCTCAAAAGCCTCTTAAAAAAACAAAGGGAGAAAGTGAGTTTTGGCAATCGGCATCACTTAAAGCACTTCTAGATGTGCGTCAAACCAAGATGAGCATGTCAATAAACGCAAGTTCAATGGGATGCAATAGCCCGTGAATTAAGAAGACAAAAAAAGAAAGGCAGTTTACAGAGTAATATGCACAATCCATATTTCACAGAATCATAGAATCATAGAATGGCATAGGCTGGAAGGGACCATGGAGATCATCTAGTCCAACCTCCCTGTTTTGGGCAGGGATGCCACCTCTCGACTAGACCTGGCAACATATGGGGACCGAGCGGGAATCGAACCCGCGACCTCGGTGTTAGTCCTTGTTGCCAGCACCGCGCTCAAACCACTGAGCTAAAAAACCCACAAAAACTAAACACTTGTCTATGCTGGTCAAATTCAGATTAAGAAAAGCTCCACTGCATAACCTTCAGCGAAGGGACAACTGAATTGGACACTATTTTTAGCACCTCAGAAAAGATGGAAAAAATATCTTAAATTAGCTCACCAGTGAAGGGGAGAAAAGGAGTAAGTGGAAAAGGTCCCCGTGGCCAATACAAGCTTAAAACTAATGTGTCTTCAAAATCATGGCACTAGCACTGAACATGAGAGTTCCATTTGTTGTACACAACAGAAAAAAGCTACTCAGTTTAGACTACAAAACGCTGGGGAAAGAAAAAGGTCAGTGTGATGAAACATTGAAGTCACAAACCTCAAAGGAGAAGCACACAATTTATTCATTTTTCCAGTTTTGCATACACTTTCTTAGCAGAAAAGACAGTTTGTGCAACTGCAATTTTTACATATCAAAAAGCCCAAGGATAATTGATTCTTATATATGAATACATAAACATCTACACCCACAGAAAAGTTGCTCTCACCCAAATAAAACTTGAGCCTGAGAAGCCAACCTTAGTTTACGAAACAAACTTAAGGGAGCCTCCTGAATGAGGCAGCAAATTGGAGGCAAAAATTTGAAGATCTGCAAACATTGTCAAATTATGCCCACATCAATTAATTACCTCATTTATTTTTAAGTAATAATTTGCTTTTCTCTGTTAAATAAATCGCCAATATCGGACAACCCTCTCACACATTTTAAGAAAACTATGCAAAAACATAGAGTAACATCATTTGTTAGTTACTTGTTACACTTCAAGATAGAGGAGTACTATATTTTGTATTTGGTACATTCCCTCCCAAGCACAAGACATTCGTCTCAATCGTCTTCACATGATTTTGGCACAGATAACAATAACACGACCTTGTGAAGCACTTTATCATCTCCTATTAAGTTTCTAAAAGTCCTCACGTGATGCAAATTAAAAGACAACACGGGAAAAAAGCACAGTCCCACCAGACAATACAAGTTTCAGTCACTTCATACATCACACACTCTTCAGGCTGAAAGAATGATGGGGAAGCTCCAGTAACTTCTGCACTAAAGTTCACTAGATCAGACAAGCGGGCAGAGACTTCTCAGTTTCTTGTATTATAATTTACCAGCTGGTAAAGTGCCTTTGGTGACACAAGAACCTAAAGGAGCCCACGTAAGAACATCTGAATTTGGCTTTACCCCTACGAAAATGTACCATTTCTAGGACAGATAAAATGGCTTTTTTCTAACTTATACATTGGAGATAACAGTTTTCCTCTAATAGTACCACAGTGATGCAAGTTAAAAAAATATTTATTTTATTCTCATGACATCTTGGATGCAGACTGTTTTGAAACCCCCAGTAGAAGTCAGTTCTGCAACTAGTAGTGGCATGAAGGATAGATTTGTGCACTGAATTGTTCAGTGTTGGACAAAAGCAACTTATGCACCAAGAAAAAGAAACGCTGGTCACACAAGGACAGCAAGAGTGTGTCCAGCTTCTGGTGTTGGTCAGATAAAACTACTTTGGGTCTTTTCAGTAATGCAGTACTTAACCTTCTCTGATCTGAAGGCAGCAGCATACAGCCAACGTGGTCAGAAAGCAAGTTTGAGGACAAACACAGAGTCTTCTGTCACACAACAAAGCTGTGAAATTCACTACGACACCCGATGTTGTGGAGAGAAATAAATGAAAAAAGATGGATTAAGATCATGGAGCACAGATCTGTCAGGGATTGATAAAACTGATGGTCTTCAGAAAAATTTTGGTAAACGGAATCCTCAGTTTACCAGAAGTGAAAAAAATACAGAGGGAGAGACCAATTTGTACAGATCTTTTACAGTCAGTATATGTTTCTACAGATGCTGCCATTGTATTTCTACTGTAGACAAGACACTGGACTGACAAGATGTTTGGTCTGAGTCAGGAAACCTTTTCTTTAATAAGTATGTTGATTAGAAAAAATCTTTCAGTGTATTGCTCCAAGATCTGACTTTGGCCTTAAATCTGAAAGAATGCTCTGAGACTGTCCCTTCACTAATGACTGAAGTATCTGTTTCAGAATTAACATTTTCAAATTTGTTACATGTTTACGACCATATCTATTTTTGCTGTGAACAACAGAACAATTTTTCTGTATTAGTAACTCATTGAGATTCTGTCCAATTTTATTCATGTAGCTTATTATTTATGCTCTGGTCCACAGGATCTCTAGGAGAACTTCCTTAGCATTATTTGCTTATTTTTTTTTTCTGTACTAAGTAGTGTCCTAAACAATAGTTTGTAGGCAATATTAAAATAACCCACTGAAAGTAAATTGAAGTTATTTTGCAATGACACTGTCCAAAGGCACAAAACTGGAAATACCCTTAGAAAGCACATCTGCCCAGAAGAAGAGATGC